CAGAAGCGTTGTGATTACGTGTAACATTACTAGAGGATTCACTAACGTCAGAAGCGTTGTGATCACGTGTAACATTACTAGAGGATTCACTAACGTCAGAAGCGTTGTGATCACGTGTAACATTACTAGAGGATTCACTAACGTCAGAAGCGTTGTGATCACGTGTAACATTACTAGAGGATTCACTAACGTCAGAAGCGTTGTGATCACGTGTAACATTACTAGAGGATTCACTAACGTCAGAAGCGTTGTGATCACGTGTAACATTACTGGAGGATTCACTAACGTCAGAAGCGTTGTGATCACGTGTAACATTACTAGAGGATTCACTAACGTCAGAAGCGTTGTGACTCGGGATGGTATCGACACCCAGAGACCTGGTAAACTCCTCTCCCCTCGATCTCTCCGCTCCACTGACTTCTGTCTGGCATGATGCTTCCACGAATTTCCTTCTGAATGGAAATCTGCTCAAAAAGTCACACAGCGTGTTCTCTTTTCCTTCAATGTGCACGATATCAAAGGAGTAGTTGGAGAGTTCCTGGCACTTCCTGATTAAAGCAGGATCTGATTTTGAGAACAGGGTGTCGCTCGCTGATAGGAGACTCTTACAGTCCGTTATAACTTTGAACTTGGTGTTTCTGAGATACATCTTCCAGTGATCAATGGCTATCACCATGGCATCAAATTCTAGCTGTGTCTGGCTCCTTTCTCTCTTGTAGGGTGGTACAGCTTTACTATAGAATGCTACTATTCTCCTCTCTCTCTTTCCATCTCGTACTATCTCCTGGCTCAAGGTAGCTCCGTATCCATGTTTGCTAGCGTCCACTGTCAGGTGATATGACTGGAATGGGTCCTCTGTATCAGGTATAGCCAACATCGTACTCTCCGCCACCGCTCTCTTTAGCTCCTCAAACGCCTCCTGGCACTCACTTGTCCACTCAAACTTTGCTTCCTTCGTAGTGAGCTTGTGAAGAGGCTTCGCGATTACGCTGTATCTGGGTATCCACTTCCTCACGTAGTTCAAGGCACCTAACACTTCTTGAACCCTCTTCACAGTGGTGGGAACAGGTAAGGCAAGTAGATCCTTAACCCTGTCCTCTGTGATCTGTACTCCGTCCTCGCTGATTGACACACCCACGAATGTAACTTTCTCCCTCAGTAGCATACATTTCTTGGGGGTCAACGTCAGATTCGCTTGAACCAGTCTCATCAGCAGGATCTCCAATCTGTCGAGATGTTCGCTCACAGTCTTTGAACTCAGGAACAGATCGTCGATGAAGAATATCAACTGTTCTATCGGAACTGTTGCCAGAAGTTTCCACATCACCTTCGAGAACACGCTACTGGAGTTCTTGTGACCCATGATCATACGAGCCCAACAGTATGACCTTCCCCTGTGCATGAACGCTGTAACCTTCTTCGAATCTTCAGAGTATGGTATCTGCCAGAAGCTCTTAGAGAGATCGAAACTTGAATAAATAGAATCTGATCCTATCGTGTCTAACACGTGATTCAAGTTGGGTAACGGGTATTTCTCATCCATGCAGACTTTGTTGGTACCCCTCAGGTCTGCTACCAACCTCCATGATTCAGGATCTGTATTCTTTTTGACCAGAAATATAGGATGGTTGAAGTCACTGGGTCCTTTCAGGGGCTCTGCTATTCCCGCTCTCACCATCTGTTCAATTTGGCGGTCCATCTCTGGCTGAAGTTTGTACGGGGTAGGTATAGGATATGTCCAGCTGGGCGACTCTCCCTCCTTCATCTTGATCTTTGCTTCATACATATTGCAGCACCCGATATCAAATTCATCATGCGAGAAGCAGTCCCTGAATCTCCAGATTATCTCCTTCAGTCTGGTCTTCTCAGTGTTAGACATTGCCACCTCTATCTCGTCCAGCCCGAGCCTCTCAAATAACTCACTCTGAATCCATTTCTCCCCACCTATCTGTCCTGGCTCACTCCTGGTCTCCTGAGCTTGGTCATCAATTGCAGTCCCTCTCACTCCGACATCGTGACCCCTGCTCCTTTGCACGCCGTGTATGAAGTCTTGATCGCCTACAGGCTTCAACAGTGCAATGATCTTGTTCTTGTGAATTGTTATCGGTTCATCAGTTGCGTTAATACACTTCATCGGGATCAGTCTCTTCTCAGAGTGCACAACTGCATGAGCGAACAGAATTCCTGTCTCTCCAATTCCTTGCTTGTACTGTGGCTCAATCAAACCCTTGAAGTTCACTCCTTTCGCCTGCAGCTTTCCACTGATGTATTGCACCGTGTTTGGAGGAATGACTGTGACTCTGCTACATCTCACTTTTATCTGCTGCTTTACATTCTCCGGCTTTTCCGTGAACGGCACCTCATCTCCGTTATGCAGCACCAATCTGCACTTGTTATAATCCAGCGTCACTCTATTCGATCTCAAGAAGTCATCTCCAATCAGGAACTCTGTGTCTAACAGATCAGTTACCACGAAAGTGTGCACAAACTTATTTCCAGCAACCACCACTTCCATCTCTAACTCTCCTCTGATTTGTATCGTGTCTTGAGAAAATGACTTCAAGGTCATGTCACACGGTCGGATCCCGCTCTCTAGTCTCAGTCCTCTCACAAAACCCGTGGACACAATACTCACAGCCGACCCGCTGTCAACAAAAAGGTAGGCTGCCACTCCTCTGCAACTCCCAGCCACCAAGATGTGTTTCCAGTTCACCGCATTCACCTCCTTCTGCTTCCCATATGATTTTAATTGCGACTGATGGGAAATGAATTTTGTCCAGTCGCACGCCCGTTTAAATGGTCTCTCTGCATTCCATGCTGTTCATTCACTGTGGGTCTGTACTGCCCTCCTCGTTCTCCAGATTGCCCTCTGTTGACGTTACAGAATCTCTGAATGTGTCCCTCACCCTGACAATTATAACAAATCAATGGCCTGCGACTCTCTCCTCTACTCGCACCTCCACTCGCCCCTCTACTCGCACCTCTACTCGCACCTCTGCTACTCCGCTCAACCGGACTCACTCTACTCCTACAAACACTGGCAACATGCCCTTTACCTCCACACAGCTGACACACAATATTGCTCCAACACGAGTCAGCCTTGTGACCCTTCTTCCCACACATCTGACAGTCATTCTCATCCTCTTCTTTCTCACCTTGCCTGCCAACACCATAAGTAGGTGTCGAGAATTCCAGTGTAGTCATCGGATCACTGTCCATATCTCCCTCTACTGCCTTGGATATGTGCTCCTCCTGTACAGCTAACCGGATCACGCTATCAAAATCCTCTGTCTCCGTGTTCATCTGAAGGAGCCGTCTTTTAATAGCAGAGTCTTTCACGCCCTGTATCAACACAGTGATACCTGCACTCTCTCTCTCCACAGCTCTCGGGTAGATCTTCTCAGCAGTATCCCGTATTCTCTCTGCGAACTGCTCCACGCTCTCCAACACTTCCTGCTTCATCTTATGGAACGTTGTCCTCATTATTCTTGCATCAGTAGCGGGATATAGCTCTCTTTTCACCGCACCAATCAGCATCTTCACGTCACCTCTCTCATCACTGGATAGCCGGATGTTCTTCACTTTCTTGAACTTTGCATCGTCTTCTATCTGATTTGCAAGCCTCAAGTCGAGATTGTCCTTTACTCCGCATAACAGGACCCACTGCTCGAATCTCTGCAGAAATGTACAGAAATCATCATTTTTCCTGTACCTCGGCGCCTTACATTTCATCGTGTACTCTCCCTTATCTCTCTCTGTATTTCCGGGTTGCAAATCACCACTATCAGTTGTTCTCGCTCTTTCTTGCAACAAGTTGCTCGTTCTCTCCATCTTTACATCTTGTTCCCTCATCAATCTCTCTCGCTCAAGCTCTGCTTCTTCTCTCCACCTGTTCATATCTCTCTCCAACTCTCTCACTCTGCTCAAACACTCCTCTCTCTTCTCGCTCAAATCAAACAACTCCACTTTGCTCTCTTTTATCTCCGCCTCTTTCTCACTTGTGTCCCAAGACTTCATTTCCAATTTCACCTCCACAATCTGATCCACAACCCGTTTTTCCTCCTCTACTAGTTTTCTCATCTCCTGCTCCATGTTTGTGAGTCCAGACATAGTACCACTTTCCTAGGTTCTCCAGATAGTGTAAAATAAGGTTGCACCAGAACAGTCCTCCCGGGCGTACCAATGGTCTACTTTGCCTGCTCACAAAGGTACGGTAGCGAAGTGGCGTACACGGGTAATTAAAATGTACTAGGGTACGATAGAGAAGTGTCGTACACGGTACTTAAGAAATACACGGGTACGATCTTGAAGTATCGTACGCGGTACTTGAAGAAATATACGAGTACGATATCGAAGTCTCGTACACGAATACCTGCAAATCTCTAGCTCTCAAGCTCTGCAAATTCACTCTAACTCTTACAGGCTACTGAGTGCCGTATAACTTTAAAAGATCGAATGACTTGATCGAGTCCTAAGTTAGGTAGGAACAAAGGAAACAGGGGGTTCGAACAATAAGTCTCGAAAGGTAATAAATTACTATTAGATCAATAAACCAAGACTAGCGACTCGAAGGCCACGCTACACTGTCCTCGGAAGCGGTAACTTTTACAACCTTACCGTTAAATGCTTACCGAAGAACTGCCGCTAACGGGGCAAGCAAAACCTACCAGCTCTGGGTCACGTGACATCACATGGCGAACCACGTGACACCGCGCGGCCCAGTCTGTCCAATAACCTAACTTAACTAGCTAACCTGACTAACACGTGCCTTCCTCCGCAAAACCATCCATAATCTATTCCACTAATCTAATCTAATCTTATACTAATCCTAACGGTTATTCAACACTTATACTAGAATATTCTCAAAGATCTAAAAAGCCTAATATATATATAAATACTGCTGCAACTAGCTTACCATATTACACTAACATAATACACGTCCACAATCTACATAATACATATAGTGTACAATCATCTATTACAATGTACACCCTCAACAGGCCCTGCAGTCCAAGTATTTCTACTCCGACCCTAAACCAACCCATCCCGAGAATCTACCAGTTCTACGAGACTGGGATCAGGATCCAAGCCCTTCAGAGATGCTGATGACTGCTGGAACCAAACGGCCTTTCGGCAGAATGGCACCTCTTGATCCCTCGCTGTCTAAGAAACTGTTGTTCTAGAGACGAGTTGTTCATTAATAATTTAGCGACCTTTATATAACGCTAATTTGTCCTGTTAATGCGATTAATGCAACAGTAAACTGGTAAATATGGGTCGAATTTTCTCATAGTAGCGGCAGATATGATCAAAATTGTAATTGTTTATGTCTATTTTTATTTGAATTTCTTAAAGTTAACTCCTGATTTCTTACACAGTAATTTTAACTTTTTCATGAAATCCACTGACTATTATTTACGAAAGTTCTCCCGACCAAGGTTGATGATTCTAATGTATTTGATACTAAATGTTATTGTTAAAAACTTTAAACTTGTATTCTATATTCATGTCTCATCGCTCCGAAGGCAGACAATTTGTTTGACCTATAGTTTTTTACATGCATCAAAATCTGAATCTACGTGCGTCCCGTTACATCCATCTTAAATAGAATTCTCTGTTTTTTTCACAGTTCTCCCCGATCGTGGCTCTCTTGCATTTTCATGAATTGAGTCTGATTTTTTATGAGTTTATGCTTCTTCTTCTCCATAACGACTCCAAGTTCCTTTCTGTCCAGTTTTCCGTCATTATTCTCATCAACCAGCCCCATTATCATACTCCCCGCCAGTTCTAATTCCTCTACGTTTACGTCTGATTCCTTTCGTGACATCCTGCCTGATGATAATGGCATGAGATTAATTGCTCTTAATTTTCACATCACCGGTTCAACTGTTCATATTGCTTGAGATATTTTAGAGATCATGTAAATAGTGGGAATTTTGAATTAGTTAAATTATCCTAATTACCACAGACTTTCAAGTTTCAACCTCCCTACCGGCCGCCGCGCCTTTTCCTTTTAAAACTAACACGTCACGTTTTAGAAACCCTTTCCCTCGGGCATCCTCAAGTGATATCATTCATAGGCACTAGACTGTGAAATATTTTGGACGAGGGAACAACTAATTTTAACTTACTAAGTGGTTGCTGGTCTATTCTGAAAACATCCCGGAAAGCTAATTTTAACTTACTAAGTGGTTGCTGGTCTATTCTGAGAACATCCCGGACAAAAGCCAGGAACTCCGGCCCTTCTACAACTCCACTTTCATCATGATCGTAGTGCTTGAATATCTCTCCAAGGTTCTTCTGTTGTAGCGATTTTGGGCAGATATCTAGAAAGTTCTTTTCAATATTTAGGAGTTCTGCAAGCTCTCTCAACTGGAGACGACCATCTCCGTTCACATCTCCACGTTCAAATAACCTGTTAGGTGATGGGTGTTCAATAAGTGTGATTATCACGTTGTTGCGACAAAGTAAAACAAAAAGCGAGCGTTTTCCTTTGTCGCAATAAAGTGACGATCAGATATTTTGGTTACTCATCATTGTAAATGCGATTCATTGACAATGTTTCTATCCAATGATTACAGTTAGGTTCAGTGTCTTTGAAATACAAAGAACAAAACGTGTAAGTAAAGTTCACTACTAACGTGTCAATAAAACTCTGCAACTCCTCTTCCTTTATCTTGAACCCTACACTCTCCAGCCCGTATCCGTCCTCCATTTTATGTTGCTGTTTAGCCAGGATCCTCCTCACTAAACTACTGGTCTCCTCTCTGTCCAGGAACCCATTACCGTCACTATCGTACTCTCTCCACATCTTCATGAACAGGACGCTGGGCGTTTGGCGAGAACTCGACATCTCGTAGTGTCTGATATTTTATTATATTGGGGATTATTAGAGAATCAGGGGGCGATTTGTTGGAAATTACTTTAGACGTCTAAACTTAAAGTTCTGCACCTTTAAACTACATGCAGGTATATTCGGGTCAATTGGCATTGTTCCTGCGACTAGTCTATTTTTAGATGAACTTTTCAGCGCATATTTGTAGCTTCAAAGTATGTAATTAAAACTATCCCAAATATCTGCTAGGATGGCGCTTGGAAGTTGATAAAGTGCTGAACTGGAGATGATGTAACCTGGCGAACATATCCCCTGGGAGAGGCAGCAGCACGGTCACGCGATGCACCGAGACGTAGTGATCCAGTGTGTTGGTCAGAGCCCCACTAATCTTGGTGAACGGACCGAATCACTACATGACTGAATCCCTAACGGACTGAATCACTACCAATCACTATTGGTAGGGATTGAGGTATATTTTAGGACTGAATCACTACCGGACTGAATCACTACCGCTAATATCTAAACCTAACCACTTTGATGTGATCCCTACTGAACTTTGCAATAAAGGCATAATTATTCGTATTTCATTAGTTAATTATTTTATTTTTTGTTAATTATTATTAGATTTTTCGTGATAATTGACTAAGCAGAAATTTGGTCAAAGAATAATAGATAATATACTGATACAGTAATTTAAATCACACAATAATAAGTAAACATTAAAGCATTAACCCAAAATCTTAGATCCAACAGCTTTCAGAAACTCGGTAACATCCCCAAAGTTATCATAATCATCAACAATACGTTGCATCTCCAGGTCAAACTTCTCCCACTTTGCTGCTCTCTTGAAGGGTCTTCTGGTGATTACACAGGATTACACAGGATTACACAGGATTAAAATTAAATTATAGATCCATTATCATGGACCGTCATAATTGTTTACAGAAGTTAATGAAAACAATCATCTTTGCTTGAAGTCAGGGCCAGGGTAACAGTGGTGTGCCCACCTATGAGTGAAATTGAAACGTAGCGCGCCTGAAACGTCGCGCGCCTGAAACGTCGCGCGCCTGAAAGCATGACAATGTCAGCCGCGCTGAAAGCTTTCATAAGGTTTCAGTAATCGCGTCTGCGGCAAATTAGAAAATTTTTAAAAATTTGCCAGTATTTGTCACAATTTGGCGGGACTGGAATATGATGCATTGGTTCGGTTAAAAAACCACCAGATATAATGATAACAAGATTAACGGTGACTGAAATATGGCGAAAACTTGTTTAGCCCACAGCTATTGAAAATGTAGAGTTTACGAAGCTTGATGACTTAATGATAACACAATTCTTTTAGGCAGATAAAGATATTAAATCAAATACATGAAAACATAGCACGGCATGATAATCGAATGAAAATTATGTTGACCATCAGTCTTAGTGCCATGTCCGCAAGTGTACTTGTCCCCTTTTGAATCCATGAGCTATTGGGACATTAGCGGACATGGTTTTTGGGACATTAGCGAAACTAGAGTTAACGAAGCTCAAGTTACCGAAGCTTGATGACTAAATGATAACACAATTCTTTTAGGCAGATAAAGATATTAAATCAAATACGTGAAAACATAGCACAGTATGATAAATAAATGAACATTATTCTTAGTTTATTCCTTTTGTGTGAATAAGATCACCGTAGCAGACAGCAGTTCACGCAACATTGGCCGTGTGGACTGCTTGTCACTTGCGGAGGACATTTAAAAAACACGTTCTAGAAAAGTACACGTGTTAGTCAAAACAATACATGCACGTTTTACAAAAATAATTACAAGTGTAAAATTACCAATCTTTAAAAATACACGTGTTACAAATACAAATACACGTGTAACAAAATACTGAGCACATATCAGGCCATATATTTGCTTAAATTTGAAGTGAGTTAAGTTTTAGAACCCTTTAAAAGCAACTCTAAAATTCAAATTCTTACCATTCTGAGAGGATTGGATGCTAAAACGATGAGTATCGTTGATCAGGAGCTCTATTTATCAGGTTTTATAAAAACGCCAATAGAAAAATGCGAAGATTTTTTATAGGGTCTCCCAGGAGATTCTATGTACTTCCAAAAGTATACATCCATTTTTTTTCCAGGTGTATTCGAGGAAATGTCTAAGCTTGTTATGTATGCAGTTTCATTGACCTAATACAAATGATGGAATTTAAGTGAATTTAATCTGGCGGGTGGTATTTTTTTATGCAGATAAAGAGCTGAGTTGTGGTCTAAGATGGGAAGCCATAACTTATCTCTGGATCTCAATCGGGTTGACATAATTAAAATAATAGTGCAATCTTGTCCTTGTCCTCTCCCCAGAATCCACAAGATGGTTAGGAGAATCGTCGAGGGACAAGCTGCGTCCGAAGAGCTCCGAAGGAGGGTTTTCAATCAGTTCCAGCCTGAAATGAACAGTTTTCACAGACTCTGCATCATATACAATTAATAATAAAGCTGGACTAGCTGGACCTGTTCTTATGATAAAATTAATTAAAAATAAACCATGTTCCCCACTTGGAAACGATGTCACAGACAACAGCCACAATTTAACGGTAAACATTCTTCACTAAATAACTGACCCAGTTTTAACAAATTCGAGTCATGAGGAGGAGACTGAATCTTACTTACTCGTCTGCGTCGTCCAAGCGTGATATCCGCAAGAAATTGTGCAGATGCACACAGCTTTTCAGAATCAGCCTAGTCACCTCCTCATTTGTGGTCAGGTGACTCAGGATCTTCCATTTCCTTGATAGGTGTCCGAAGACGCACTCTATGACCATCCTGCCTCTGAAACAGTGTACAATTCAATCTACATAAGGTTCTACAAAAGTTTTCAGTTTTGCGATGATCACTTTACAGGAAAATACAGGAAAACAGCTCAAAGAGCACAAACGGTAATTCTTGATCAATTCATACAAAAACAATCATGACTGTCTAATCTAATTAGATGTAGTTTTCTGAATTGTCGAGGCTACAATTTATTTATTTATTTAATTCGTGACGTTCCAGTACCTGGATAACCTATAGTTTGTCATCCGCTGAGATTTTGACACCTTCCCCCTGTACGGCTTCATACAATGAGCATGAAGGGGAAAGGCATCGTCACCGACAATGTAGTAATTGACTCTACCAAGTCGCTCCTGAAAAGAAGACGTAAACATTATATTAATTAAGTATCTTACAGCCTAGATAACATATAAGCTCATATTTTTATGTCCTAAAGGATGCAGACCAATGGCGCTGTTTTTAGCGCCCAGAACCACTCTCCAATCAAGGCCCCCCATCAAAGTCCGAAAGCGGGGTTAAATTAAATCTTTCTATGAACACACCCTGTTCCATTGTTAAAACGGTAATCATGTTCAAGGGCTGGGATTCCGGGTAAAGTATTTACTGAGTTAATGAAGCCTCGAGCATTTGGTATTCACGAGTGTTCGCATATTATCATCAGTTCTTACCTGATCATCATTCGGCAGAATCTCAGCAGCAGGTATAAAACCCCGTTCTAGGAATTCTCCAGAGGCCAGTCCTCGTCCCAGTCTGTCCTCTGACCAGATTCCTCCGTCTGATCGACCGCCAAAGCTTCCAACGTTAAAATGACGGATTCTGAATAAGTAATTGTAGTAAAGAAGTTAGAGAATGATGTTAGCATTTAAGTTACATCTCTCATAGATCGCCCGCAATCCTCGCAAGTTTTAACTCCAATCTACCCATTCCTGTTTTTTGCAGAATGCAGCAATTTTTATTGAAAGCATGCAAAAAACGATATTCATGAGCGGTACATATGATATTGTTTTAAGATTACATATCTCATTTCAATAAGTTAGTAGGAATCTGGCTACATAATCTTGGTTGAAGAGGAGAAGTGACAATGTTCTTCACTACACTAGCATTTAAGTTGAACCATTTTTTTAAAGATGACATGTGAAAATAGCACTTACATATAATCAGCGTCACACACTGCGAGGAGAATAACAGACGGCCATCCGTGATAATTAATCGTGTAACTTCCAGTTTTCCCAAATTTTGTAATGAAGCAATGCTTGCCGTCCACTGCCCCTGAAATGACATGTGTAAATGCCTCTTCTGTCTCAGGACAGACGAGGATAATAAAATTGGTCGGCTCTGAATGTTTAAATCATACTCCTAAAATTTATGCTACTCAAAAACATCGAAATTTAATTCGTGAATTTTTGAAACTGTGGCGAACCTTAACTAGGCTAAGTTTCGGATTTCTGTGTGTGAAATGCCACCCTGTGGCGTATAGTTTTTGCCTGCTTTCAGAATGATCCAATAAAAACTGTACGAGGAGAGCATTTGAAGTTTGAAAAATGGTCGTTTCGGGAAGTCAAGATTGAAAACTTCCCATAGTTACTGTAGAATTGCATAATATGAGCAATGATCTTCAAACTGCAACAAATATCGTTTGATCTCACTCTATTCCTCTCTTCTTTAAGGAAACGCTATAGCATCAATTTCCATGATTCACCAACTCGAGACCCTCAGCTCCCGGCGTCCAATCAAAGATAATTATATATATATATATCAACGTCAATAGATCGCCTCCCCCCTCCCCATCCCAAGATGCCTCCCCACCGTTCAGTCAGACTTTTTCATTACCAATGCAGTGCGGCAGCTGCCATCTTTCATGGAATCTCTGAGCAATTTTTTTCCAACATTCAGTCGACCGTGGACGAAAATCTGCGTGTTCAGCCAGGCAGACAGAGATGGCCGTTGTCACCTGAAATACAATTTTTACTTGATATAATAGACTTCTGTTCCTGAGGTATACCTGGTGATAAGTAAACTCAAAGTGTCAGTGGCTCAATGAATCTATAGAATAAGCAACTAAGCGCACCAACCTTCTTTATTATCCTACACACTCTGCACCGGGATAGTACAAACTGGTTCGCCAGATACCCTTGCGCACACCCAGACTTCAGGTAGCTGTGGTGTTAACTTCAATTAGTGATGTAAAAAGTGATATTCCACATTTACATTATAACTCTTATATATATATATATATATATATAATGTAGTATTGAATGTAGATAAGAAATAATTCGACTTTTCATCTCTCTACAGAAATTTCCAGTTCAAACAACTGAAAAGTTGAGAAATTTCTCATAACGATTGACGACAGAGATAATTCCGTCATTTATAAATATTCATCCAAGATTCTACCCTATATTGTCCTGTCCAACCTTAGGGTTAAAATGAGCTGCTCTCTAGCTGAGATTGACGTACTTTTCCGGTTGAACTTCTTTGGTTCTAGAAGCGGTCGAACTTTCATGAAAAGTGAATGATACTCTGATCTCGTCATACCAAATTGACTCCTGCCGGGCATCATCATTAAAATCTATCGATGGATCAAAATCTCTGGCTTATCGATTTAAAAATGGACAAGGAAATTAGCGGATATTACTATTTAATCAAGTTATGAGATCACTGATCCTTGTATAATATCATTATACTACATTATACATAGTATAAATTTTACTAACTGCATTTAGCTAGTTTATAGTAAATACACACGATCGCAGAATAGAGGAGCACAATTGGGCTCTTTGTTCTGCGACCGTGTTTCCTTGGTGGGCCGACAGGTTTTTGTTGTGTAGTAGTGCTGGGGAAAAAACACGCTTTAACTATGATCAATGAGAGTAAAAATTTTTAATTCTTGACCTTAGTGCCACAGTTTCTGTGGTAAAAACAAATTTATAGTTAAACGTTATATATCGTAGAAGGGTATGATTTACTCACATCACTAAGCATCTGGATGGATTATTAGCACACAAGGATAAACATGACCACCAGCTATACCACGTAACCATAGCTCCGAAAGAAATAAATTGCTCTACATAGAAACATCTGATTATTCTGGCCTGATCCTATCACATTGTAGTCCCCAGGGGTTCGGTAACAGGCAACTGGGACCTGGGTCCTTTTACCAGCCACAATAACATTGGTCATGCCAGTACTGTCATAAACTGTAACCAACTATTAAAAATTAGTTATCTTTAGCTTAATTTTAAATTTTAAGTCATAGAGCAATCTTCTTAATTTTAAAATTTTTAAGAATAATATTTTACCCTAACTATGACGTGGTGGCACAATCATTATTCCACAATTTGTATTTCTCTAGATATCTCCAAGAATTATGTAAATATTAAGGCTCGCTAATATCATAGATATATATATAATAAGGCATGTCTTCTCCTTGCCACTAATTTTCCAAAAACTATGTCCACTAATATTCCAATAGCTCATGGATTCGAAAATGGACAGGACACCCCCAATCATACTAGGTTGAGCGATGAAAACATGATGTGGCATAAACTCATTTCGACTAGGCATTTCGTATTGTAAGATGGTAAATTAATCCGCAAATACACAACTCATTTCTTAAGCATGAGAGCGTTGCTAATCATGTAGGTTACCGGTAATGTTGCCTAAATATTGTGTAAGTCTGCTGTGTAAAATTGGACTTAATTTAATTATTTAGTTATTTAAACCCTTTAAACAAAATATTGAATTAAATTGAATTGAATATAATATATATTGCCAGAATTTACTTACTTGTACATTTCTGTTGTCCCATATTTTAAGAGACGGTTGATCTGAGTATTATAGGCTCCGAATTCCTTACGTCCTTGGTAGTAGTACTTTACAGGTGCTCTATAATACAATATAGAATGTCAACAGCTTTTTTTTAAATTGTCACAAGGAAACACGATCAAGCGAACCTTGGCCCTTTAAATTATGGAAAAGTCAGACAATTCAAAATAAAAAGTTTGTAAATCACAATACTCGCCTTTTTGCACAGCGATAACTTATTGTACTGTAAACTGCTTTTCTTGATATTAACCGAGCTAGATGAATCAGCTTCCCAAGCAGCAGCCCACATCTCCTTTTCGTCATCACCATCCTAACGTCAAAATCTCCTTTTCGTCATTACCATCCTAAAGTCAAAATCTCCTTTTCGTCATCAACATCCTAAAGTCAAAATTTTCGATGTGAATACATAGAACATGATAATTAGATTAGATTATGATGAAAATCTTTTAAACATACTGGCTACAAAAAGCATTTTAGTAGTCCGAAGCTGTTCCAACATAAATTGAAACTGAGGTAAAAAGATGCCTAGCATCAAGTTAAATTTTAAATCATTATGACTGAGTTATGAATATCAAAATAAGGTAGGTGGTCGTTTCGAAGTAAGAATCCTGCAGCTGCACTGAATTAACAGCAGTAAGCTTAGTACATTCCATGAAAAGTTAGTTGCTGAGAACAGGACTTGAACCAGTGGCGTAACGAAGGGCCCTGCTGACCCTGCTGTGCAGGGGGGCGCTGTCTTATGGGGGGGGGGGGGGGGGGCGCCAAATCGTCGTTTGAATGTGGGACAATTTTGAAAAAATTTTGAATTACCGGCGTATCCTCTTATATTGCCTAATTTGTTCAATTTTAGGGAGGGGCACCAAAAGGAGAGGGGGCGCCAACAGGGGGGCACCTTTTCGGCAGGGGGGCGCCAACAGGCGACGTTACGCCACTGACTTGAACCCACAATCTCCCAATGAACGCTTGGATGCTTTAAGTTATCTCGGCCCCACTCAGTCCCAACAATTCACTTATTTGTACTACTAAATTATTTACAAGGAAATATTCAAAAATATTCATATTTACCCTTCTGTACTGAAGGGGACCCTTGGCAGGGTCACTCATTTAACCCTCGCATATGGTTTCCAAACATTCGGCTGAGCAGACCGAGAGGCTGCATAGACCCGATAGAGTCCTTAGCTGAGCGTCAATGACGCTCACCTCAGGGACTAATGATGCACCAGCGGGGAGTCTAACCACTAATCTTTCGATAGTGAAATCTGAATACCGCCCCTACACCACCAAAGACCTGCAATTTAATCTTTCAAAATTCCGTTGGGTGCACATACCCAACAGAGTCTTTAGCTGAAAATATCTCAGATCGATTTTGGGCGTTTTCGACCACTTGTAGTTGAAATTCTTAAATAATAGATATCCTAATTTATAACTTTTAATCAGAGTGAATTAATAATTGATATTTGATAATTTATTTATTTGATAGTTTAGTCTGATATTGATATTAATAAGCTGGTATCTCTAAGCACCTAGCTGGTTTCCTAAACTCATTCATGAAGCTGGGTCTATTTCCAAATATTCTCAAAATAGGTAAGGTCACCCCCGTATTTAAGAAAGGAGACCCACAGCTGTTTGATAACTACAGGCCTATATCCATTCTACCTATCTTTGGTAAGATATTTGAAAAAGTAATTTACTGCCGACTATATAGCTTCTTTACTTCACATATGGTCATATACGATAAACAGTTTGGATTCAGATCCAACCACTCAACGGCACATGCCATCAATTACTCCATTGACCACATTCTTAAAAACCTAGAAAGTAAGAATCATGTAATTGGCATATTCATTGACTTAAGCAAAGCGTTTGACACAATCGACCACAGAAAATTACTTGTCAAACTTGAACACTATGGCATAAGAGGGCCCTGTCTTGACCTAATTGAAAGCTATTTGTGTAACCGACAGCAGTATGTTGATTTCCAAAATACACACTCTGATCACTGCGAAATTGAATATGGGGTACCACAGGGATCAGTTCTAGGCCCTCTCCTCTTCTTACTCTACATTAATGACATAACCAACTCTAGCAAACTTGGACACTTCATACTGTTTGCAGATGACACGAACATATTTGTTGCTGGAAAAACTGAACAAGAAGCCTATTTGAATGCTAATAAAGTACTTGAATCTGTAAATGACTATATGGAATCTAACTTGCTGCACATTAACCAAAGCAAATCGGTCTACATGTTATTCAGACCTGGCCGGTACTCGTCCTGTGCACGTGCTCGTGAATATGGCTCTGAGAACTCACTCACGTTATCAGGCAACACGCTTACACGAGTAGATAAAGTGAGATTCCTTGGTGTTATCATAGACCATGAACTATCCTGGGAACCCCAACTAGATAACATAAAAAGTAAACTAACTACAAGTATAGCTATAATTAAACGTATTATGAAGTTTATTCCAGAAACAGAGTACCATAAGCTGTATGACTCCTTATTCAAGTCTCATATGAGCTACTGTATCAGTAGCTGGGGTGGTGTCACACCTTATAGACTATCTAAACTGTTCTCCATCCAAAAAAGATGTGTACGCCTTCTATTTGGAAGCAAACCAAGCTTTGACCGGGCAGAGTATTATGAAACATGTGCACGTGCAAGACCATACAGTGAACACATCGCAAAAAGGAGCTTTGCTTTGGAAAACACTAAGCCAATATTCAATACCGAGAAAATCATGTCAATCCACAACCTGTACACCCAACATATATCCACTGAACTGTTTAAAATCTTGAAACTGCATCAACCTATCTCTCTGACAAGTTTATTCCAAACAAGTTCCAGAGCATGTAGCCAAACTATGCGGGTCCCCCGACACAAACTTGAAATTTCTAAACACAATTTTGTCTTCAAAGGTACGACTATATGGAACAGTTTGGTTGATAAAATATTCGACAAATGCACTCCTAATGAAAACAATGTCATGGTCCCTGGCTCTAGTAAATTTTCCGACCTTTCCTCCCCCATCTCAATTATCAAGAGCCGTATCAAAAAGCTCTTACTTGAAACCCAGCAATTGACAACACCTGGGCGTGAAATTGAGTGGCTCCCCCTAAATAGCTGGGGCATTGAACCAGCTTAGTCAATCAGCATCCCATCCCTTGCATACAACTAATTACAAAAGCGCTAATTATACCTGTTTCAAAAGCATCCTGTCTGGAAGTTCCCTGACTGCCGTGTGAATCTTTGGATCTATTTTTGGATCTATTTTTATATTGATATGATTTTTATATACCTATATATTCCTCGCATAATTTCCATGTCCGCCTGAACAAACCTGGCACCATCAAATCTTACTCTAGAAACCCCAGAAATCATCAAGCCTAGTCTGAATTCAAAACTAGTTGACCAGCTACGTACAGTTTCCTGGACAACTGGAACCTTTTGGGCCATGCACAAGCCAATAGCATGTATGGTCCTGCAGTGGGGTCTCCTTGTCCTTGGATCTGTGTTTTGATCCGTCTTTTCTTAAAATTTTCCATTTGTGTCACTTAGAATCACTTTTTAAAATGTTAATCGACACCACTGGTCCTAGTTAAATTTAGCCATGGCACGACTACTCGAACGTAACAGTTAAATAGGTGTGACATACTATTATATTCTTATAATTATATCATATGAATTGATTGCACTGCTAATAAATAAAATACTTTGTTTTACTAAAATACTTTGTTTTACTATTGATTATATTGATATTTTTATTATTGAATGAAGCTAACTCCAGACATAAATAATACTACTTCTATTAACAAAGGGACTTGGAGTATAAACGACCAATTTTGCATAATTGTCTATCTAACCAAGAATTCAGGAGGCAAGGGTGGGTGCGTAAACTTTATGGTCTGCACTCTCAGATCCTGTATCACCCTGGATTCATTTCGACGTATTTTTGGTAAAAGTATATATACTTTCTGGTCACTCTCTTGCTACTCCAAGTCCCCTTTAGAAGATATATGGTCTAAAGTTTGCGCTAGTTATATTTATAAAATATGTTTTTGTCTGCTTTAACTGATACTAAATAAAATTGTTGTTTTCTTGAAAAAATTGTTGTTTTCTTGAGTTTTATTTATGCTATTATGAAAAATATATCAAAACCTCAGGAAACAACAATAGATGGCAGATTGAGCAGCGATGCTTGAAATTTGTGCAAATATTGTTTGGTTTGCATTTATCAAGAAAACGACACCGTAGAATCGTTTGTCGTCATGCAGTAACTTCAGTAAGCTACTAACTCACTAATGTGCAAATCTGAGAAATTTTGAGTAAGCGCTCGATTTTTGAATTAGGATATATGATGGAGCGAATGTGCGCGGCGCGCCTCTGATTTTCGCTTTTATGTATTTTCAGCGTGGCTGTTAAGTTTATTATATTTAAATGAAACTTTAATTGAAAACTTTAATTGAAAAATTCAATTGAAAACTTCGGTTGAAAACTTGAATTAAAAACTTTAAATGAACTTTGATTCTTATCTCGATGTCAAACCTTCGCCGCTTGGTGAGGCACAGAGGTGCAGTTTGCCGATCTACCTAAGGTTGCGAGAAGAATTATTTGATGCGCGGCGCGACCCAGTAGTGCATCGCGCTACAAAATGAACTTTAATCTAATATTGAATTTTGATTATAAAAGATTTTAAAAATATATCTAATGTTCAAAATGTAAAAAATGCATTATTAAAAATTGTTTAAATTGAAAAATATAAAGGAAAAAATGTTTATACCACATACATAAACTTAAAACAAAAAACATGTGTTTAAATATGTATTTCAATCTTTCAAAAATTCATGTAGATTTGTTACATCAAAAACTGGTACTGAACAAAATTAAGGAAGAAAAAAATTGAGCCGCGCATTTAAAGACGTTTTACCTCGAACTATAAAAATCAAACGCTTTGACAACATTTGTCGAATTTCTTCAAAATTGACTTAGCAGATTTATTACTTTACTTCATGGTGAAAAAACACAATTTGCTAAATATAAAAAGTGGTGCTTTGTTGTTCAATGCCCCTTGAGCGACGTTTGCATGTATTTGGACTAATTTCTTACTTTCATATGTATTGGTGGATGATGTTTGGTTGGATGACGGACGTCGGCCAAACAGCTACAGCTTTGAAGTAAGACTATAAATTGTGTGTAGCTAAATGAAATTGCACAAGCTTGAAATGCGGTTCTCATAAGGAAATTAGCTCCTTTGGCTACAAAATAGCACGTATGGTTTTGAACATATATAATATGTTTTTTGATATTATATATCAATTAATCGCTGTTTCCTGACTTTCTACACTCAACAAAAATGTGTTTCTCCTATATCAGGCACAACAATGT